AACTCATTTTCAATAATTTTTTATCTTCACATTTTATTCTATTATTTTATTTATGCAGTGTCATATAATAATTTGTACACAGTTTATTAAGATATATGAGTTCCTATAAATTCAATTAATGATTGGATTGATCGTTTTAGTGAAGGAAGGCAGATGGTTAAAATGATACTTGTCATCTTGCCCATTTAAAGCAAGTTTGAAAAGAGACGTGTTTTTAATTAAGCAATTTGCTATCAAAGACCTCCAATTTACAATTTGAAAAATAGTTAAATATTTCAACAATAATAAATAATTATTAAATACCTAAGATATCGTTTACTTTAGATTTTAAACATATTAGATATGATAAAAAGGAGGCATCCATTCTCTATCCACCTTGAAAAAAGGTATAAGAAAAGGTAAAAGGTATAAGGTATAAGGCAGAAAATTTGTGTTTTAATGGTCGCCATGCTTATTTTTGGAAAGGATATTCTTATCCACCCATTCTGATGGCGAGATTTGACCATTTCTGACAAATGAACTGTTTTTGTCATAAAAATTAACTAACATGGAAAGAAATATAAAACTTAGAAATGTGACTACGGAGGGCGTCACGTGACCGCCAATATCACGTGATTCGCGCATGCGCAGAACGGTGGTTGATGTGCATTAAAATCAGAGAGGATTAATTAAAAATATAATCAACATTGAAAACAAATACTGTTTCTTTTATGGAAGTTACTGTGAAATCACAAATTTTCCTGGGGGTTTAATTTTCGTTGTTTTCGAGGTATGAAGAGACCCACGAATTCATATCCATCACGAAATGTAAAATGTAACATACAATACTACTTAACAACTACTCATCCATGAATTCAAAACCCCACGAACCGAGAGTTTTTACTCAAACCACGAAAATTTGACCCCACGAAAATATGTGATTTTACAGTATTCAATTTGTTCGCAAACTTTTTGATCACCCCTCGTAATTATTAGTTTCTTGCTAAATATAATGCATGATAGTTAACTGTTTGATTTTCTGAAGGGTTTGGCGCCTCTGCAAGATGTCCCAATCACTGGATACGATATTCAAACAACTGCTATTTGTTTGTCACTCGATATCCTATGGAATGGATTGATGCAATGGTAATAAACATTCACAGTATTTCTCCACAATCAGCATAGTCATAACATTTACATTATTAAGGTAACAGTTAGGTACTTTTTTTTAATGAGTGGAGGTTATAGGAGAACATTGATATTTTTTTTTTCAAATTATAATTTGACTTAACTTGGAAGTGTTTAAAAGAATTTTTATGGTAAAAATCTTTTAATTTGTCTAGTATCGGGATTAATATAGATTTTACTCATTCTACTCTAGACATTTTGTAAGGCCTATGGAGCAAAATTGGCAGAGATAAAATCATCATCAGTAAATTACTTTCTTAAACATGAAGCTAGACGCCTTACACGTGGTTCAGGTTCGTAGGTTTTTCTTATATACAAAATATGCATTATAAACAGCTTTTGGGTAGCGATATTACACGCATACATATGACAATTTCTGATAACCCGTGAAACCTAAAACATCACTAAAATGATATCAAAATATATTATGAAAATGTTCCTCTCTATGTTATCTTTTAGATTGTCTCTATCCATCATTTATAACTATGCTTTTTTTTTGTACCTTGTACATTTGCGATATACCATTTTTTCATTATTCGGAAAAGCTCATTCTTTTAGAAAGTTGCTTCTTCAAAAGTGTTATCTGATTTCAAGAAAATATACGTGCTACAAAGAAGATTATATTACATCATGCATTTTTTTTTTTATAAACGTTGTTGATATGGTGAAAAAATAGAATTTTGGTGGTTTTTTTTTTTATTTTTTCAAAAGGCTATCCCCCCCCCCCTCAGTTTGTGTGGAATTGCAATAGGACTTGCTTCACAAAACCTTAATTAAGGATTATTATATTCCTTTGTTATAACTCATGTATAAACAAATGTAACCATGTTTTCGTCAGAGACTTCCGATTTTCTTTTTTTAAATTTTGTTCTTTTTTTGACTTCCTTTGTGTGTGTGTGTGTGTGTGTGTGTGTGTGTGTGTGTGTGTGTGTGTGTGTGGGTGTGTGTGTGAGGGTGTGTGTGTGTGTGAGTCATATTCTTCTTTATTAACATGTTCTCATTTTTTTTTCTTTTTTGATTGATTGATTGTTACATGTTTTCAAATTACAGGAAGGTATTGGCTTGGAGCTATTGATATATTTTCTGAAGGTGTGTGGAAGTGGACGAGCAGTAACACCAGGGTTTATTATTCCAACTGGGGGCGGGGAGAACCTAATAATGTCGGTTCTAAGGGTGAGCATTGCGCACAATTATTCAGTAGTCATAAATTTGCTTGGAATGATGGGAGATGTCATGAAAGACATAATTTTATTTGTCAAAAATCTGCGTAAAGAACAGTATCCATTTAAGATATGGACTATTAAAAAGCATGGTTAATGCAAAGTGCAGTATAATATAATTTATGGAACAAAAATCAATTAACATTACATTGCATTCTTATATTCTACCTGTCTTTACCGGAATAATAAATGTTGCATTCTTTAAAGGTTTAACTAAAAATTGTGTCAGTGTAAAATACTCCCAGTGTTATTTTGTATCAATTTTTTTTTTTTTTTGTGTGCTTATTTCTTTTGTAATGTTAGAATACTTTGTTCATTTTCTTGTTAAATTCCTTACTATATCCTTTGCCTTAATGTTCTTGGCTATCAATTTGTCAAAAATGTAGATGTTGACTGTAGTGTGAATTCATTTAATAAATGTTGGATAGACTATGGCAGTTTTGATTGTTTTCTCTTTTTTGAAATAAATACCTAGTACTTCACAACGTTTTTCTAATTGTTGGATTTATTTCCTTTGCATCCATATTATATCTACATGTATTGAAATGTGCACATAAATCTATAAATATATCTTAGCATATTCAGTCTAAGTATTATTTAATCAATAACTACAAATTTGGAGGTGGAGACGAGTGCGCGAGCAATGAGTCTCCACCCCCAAAATGATACAGAACCTGCCTCCTAAATGATTTGTGACACGATATATCAAAAATAGCTCCGCCCACTTTATAACTTTGCAGCATCCAAACTTCCGCCAGAGTTCTGTAGATGAGGCCCTGACGGGGAGTACGCATCCGCAGAATATATATTTCCACAGAAAACGTAAAATTCGGTCAGATTAGTTTTGACAATTTAACGGGGTTGACGTAATCGAGTGATAGTCAGTCTTAATGGATAAGGTGGAGGATTTAACCGTCATTGTTGTGATCTATTAAATTGAAGATGGAGATTTATCACAAATTTATTTCACTGAGGGGTCTTAAAATCCCGGTTTATCTAGATTAACAAAAACAGGATTTACAGAAAATTCTTCGATGGACTTTGATTTCATGGATTTTTATTTTCAAATTGAATTGCGACATTATGAGGCGTGTGGCTGTCGTCAGCGAGAAGGATTTTAAAAAATAAAAACGCGGAAAAAATGGACGTGAATGATTTTGTAAGAGGAGAGTGAATGTTTTCCGTTATTGCGAATTTTCCGTTTCGTTTGGAGCGAAATTACGTACAAAGGATGTTTTCCGTTATTGCGAATTTTCCTTTTACTTTGGATCGAAATTACGTGTAGATTCTGTGTGGAATAAGTTTTTAAAAAGTGATTGAAAATTTTTGACATTTTACATTCTCAGGAAAATACCGGGTATTTCTTCAAAATTTATAATAGGAAAACATCAGCATTTACTATTTGTACGTGCTTTTGCTAAATTGAATCAGATTTATTTTTAGACCGTGCTGTATTTTAGATACAGGATAGTTGGCGAATACAATACTGCATACAGGGCTAATACAGAACGGAAAGTAGCTCCGCCCACCGTAGTCCCGTTCTGTATTGCTAATACAGAACAGTAAACTTCAAAGAAAAACACCGCTATCGTTTCACAATCGATAACTAGAGGTACTGTTAGCAATAAGCTCACTAAATGATACACCTGCCTCCCATGTGAATATAATGGCAGTGTCATGTTTTGCAACGGGATACCCAAAATATGTGTCGGATCGAAAAGTAAAATAGGAGGTGTACAATGGCAATATGCAATAAAGATTCTGTAAAAGTCTCATCAAATTTCATCATTGGTATGAGAAGAGTTGTGGATAAGAAGTTGGTACCCCAAAGCGTAACAGACAGACGGACGAACGGACAGGCAGACGGACATCCCGATTTCTATATACCCTCCCGCTTTTCAAGCGGGGGGTAAATAATAAAGAATCTAAGAAAGTACAGTATCATTACAATTTATTCATTGGTATAGGAGGAGTTGCAGATAAGAGATAAGTACCCCTCGATATTATAGAAAGAAAAGCTGTGTTCATGTTTTGCTATGGGAAACCAAAGCGTCCGATCAAAAAGTAAAATAAAAGGTCTACAATGGCTCTATGTAATAAAGATTCTGTGAAAGTTTCATTAATTTCATTCAGTGGTAAAAGGGGTGTTGCGGATAAGAGATGGGTACAACAAAGCGTAACAGACGATTTTTCTACACTTTATACATCAATTCCTCGCGACAAAATAAAATCTTTACTTTTTGACAACAGCTTCTTCAATAAAAAAGGCACTAGGAATTCTGCACATCTTGTGATTGGTCATCAACATAATAACTTCGTAAATAACAACTCTCATTGTACACATGAGTACTCCGATGTTGATAACTAAAGCATGCTTAATTCCTCGTTGACAACATTTATGTAGACTTCCGAGACAAAGTCTTCTAAATGTGTCAAAAAATAATACTAGTAGCCATATGAACAGACAAGATATCCATGTCAGAAAACGCATCTCTATCTTGTTGTCAGAGATACATAGATATCTGTATTCAACATCAAATACCAGATGTTGTCTTAAAAAAAAATAAGAACGATAATGAAAAAAAAACATTTAACATGAAATTAAACCTTTTGAGCATTACACATTTTTTTTTAAATATAATTTTTATTAACCTTTCTATTGCTTAGTTTCGAAAATATTTGGTATACATTCCACATATTTTGTGTCTCTTGCTGCTGATTTCACTGCCATGGATATTGAGTTCCCATTGTCCTCTATCATATAAACCCTATATGGGTCAAACGCTGCTTCTTTAACATTTTCCAAAGTTTTGTCTAGCCCCGAGTCTGTAATCTCAAAAGGCACCATTATATTAACACTAATTCCATCATTATGCAGCTTCTCTATTTGCTGTTTTATGCTTAATATATCGTCTTTTCCCCAAAATCCATTTGTGAATAGATAGCAAATCTTTCTAGCATCAGGTCTGCTGCCTGTTGAACTACTGTTGAATAATTTGTCTTCTAAATGCGACAGAGCAAAGGTCGTGTTTCCTTTCTTATCTTCGATGGAGACTGTATACAGTTTTGCCTTTGTGTCTGGGATTGATCTCTGATGAAAGTCGAACTGTATTTGAGTATCATTGCTAAACGTCATCATTGCAACACTAACATTTGTATTCAACGTGTCGAAGGAGTCAAAAAGTTTTTCGACCACTTTCAGAGAATGAAGAGAGTTTTCTGCTAGTGGACTGGAGTCTTTAGAAGTATCGAAAAGGATGACGACATCGGTCACAGAGGAACTATTACAATCTGAAGGAAAGGTCAAATACGATTGTTAGGTGCTTGCATGAGTATTCCAACTTATCCCTATACATGCTATAGAATGCATTTTAAAATAATTAACAATCAAGAATGGTCTCAAAAACTCTTTCAAGGTCAATAACCTCCCTCAAATGATGAATTTGAAAACGAAATACGGTAGCCTTTCTAAAAAAATCAAATAAGTTTACCTGAACAGCCATAGTCTGTTGAATCTTTTAACATGGCCAACAAGAGATCGTCGTTATCTGGAGCAAACGTGTATAGAGGGTCGGTAGAGAGTTGTACTAGTTCTTCATGACCAATATCTTCACCGACTCCGACCACAAAGATCTTGAATCTCAAATTTGTGGCCTTCAGGATCTGTGCTGCTTGGATAGCTTGGTTCCGATCTGTTGACAGTCCGTCCGTCAAAAGTACTACGTAGTGACTGATGTTGGACAGCAGACGAGCGCCATTTGCTGGATTGAGGATTTCCTGAAACCGTTTACAGAGGATACATCTGAAGTTAATATTACAGTAATGAATGAAAATATTGCATGTAATTGGGGATAATATTGAAAAATATTGCACCTCGAAATCCAATTATATGCAATTCACAAATACATATAACATCAATAGTTTAACTTTGTGCACTGAAATTCTGTGCAATTAACTTTTTTTTTAATATGTCAACCAGCATCAGTAATGTTGATTGTTTCTACGTGCTATCAGGTTGGGTGTCTTCCCACTTAGCCAACATTTTGAAAAAATACAGGTAAAACACAGGTAAGTCGGTGTTGGCTAAGTGGGAGGTGTGTTCCCGTTTTGCACACATTTGGTAATTAGTATAGAACAACAGGTGTGAAGTGTGTTTTGATAGCAATTATAGTCTGATACCTGTGAATACCTGTGAATACCTGATTTATTCTTAAGAGGTTTAATACCATTTTATAAGCATATATTTATGGGAAAATATTTGATTTTATTGAATAAATTATTAATTTTTGTTTCATATTATTTATTATTAAGTCCAATTTCTTAAAAAAAAGAATATGTACTTTTCAATCTTGATATAATTCTAAATGAATTAAAGATATAGCATATAATAAAGAAAATAGTGACTAAAAATTAATTTCAAAAGATGTTTTAATAAGATCATCAGATAATCAAATACATTAACTTTGTATTTATTCTCTTATTTTTTCACTGTAAGGTCATCTTTCACATACTTACTAAGCTAAGTATAGTATAGACTATAGCAATTAAGTAATCATCTCACCTGGTCAAATTCCCATTTTTCACACATTTTTTAATTACCTGTAATTAAATGCAAAATGGGAACAAACCAAGTGGGAATGGGGTGCAGGTGGAGAACAAAAGAAATAAATTACAGGTAGGCTATAGTCTGTTTTAGCTATATGCTGAATAAATAGTATATAATTCTTATTAGGATAATATAAAATATTTAATTGTTTTCTTCTCATAAATATTAAATTATTCATATAAAAATATTAATTTTTTTTAATTAAAACTATGATTTTTTAAAAATATTTAATTATTTTTAAAACTATTTTAGATGTCTTCTTATTTCAAATATAAAATAAATTAGAAATTCTCTTTCTCTAAAGAATTATATTTAATGATACCTGGACATTGATGTAACCTAAAATGATAAATGCTTACATTGAATTTTTTTCATCTGGAAATATAAATATGAAAACTAATTTAATTTATTTTGAAGAGATACATGCATATGTACTACTATACTTCTAATTCATCCTGGAATTATAATTATGAAACTAATTTTAAATTTATTTTTTTTTGAGATACATTTACCATGTTTACTACTATAAAGATTAAGATCTCAAAATTTGCAAGCTTTTGATTCTGTAAATTATTGATAATAATTATGCTGATCTAGTTAGAAGATTCTTTAAAAAACATTCAATTATAATCATTTATAAAATAATTATATACTTAACTTGTGTATCGGTAATGTTATGAACAAGCACTTTTACTAGTATAAACACAACCATTTTTAATGATTATACATAATTATTTCTTCAAGGTGACTTAATTGTTTTTATTTATTTTCCAATAAAAATACGCTGTGTGGTCAAAAAAATATATATTTGTTTCTATTTTTTTTTTACTTAAATGATATTAATATTCTATTTATAAATTTAAATTAATTACTTTTT